AAAAAATATCGATTAACGAATTCCCGGGCTCGCGAACACCTCCCTGGACACTCATTCCTCCGTGGACACTCAATCCACCCTCGTGAAAATAGTATTTATCGACGTATTTCGGTACTTTGTACTGTTAAGATCGACCTTAAATTTTGCACACACCTAGATATATGAACAATATTTAGGAATCAGAAGAAAAAAGTGCAAAAATCTTATAACGAATTCGCGGGCGCGCAAAAACCTCCGAGGACACTCATTCTTCCCAAATATGCATTTTTATCGACGTATTTCGGTACTTTATACTGTTACGATCGAATTTAAATTTTGCACACCCCTAGATATATAAACAATATTTAGGAATCAGAAGAAAAAAGTGCAAAAATCTTATAACGAATTCGCGGGCGCGCAAAAACCTCCGAGGACACTCATTCTTCCCAAATATGCATTTTTATCGACGTATTTCGGTACTTTGTACTGTTACGATCGACCTTAAATTTTGCACACACCTAGATATATGAACAATATTTAGGAATCAGAAGAAAAAAGTGAAATAAATCTTATAACGAACTCGCGGGCGCGCAAAAACCTCGGAGGACACTCGGAGGACACTCATTACCCGGAGGACACTCATTAGGGTGACCGTAGATCTGTAGCCCAAGTTTCCTCTAGCCCTGAAACCAGACTTAGACATTTTGACAGACAGATGGTGTCTATGTCTGGTGTCAGGGCACAGGAGCCTGAAGTTTTTAAGCATATTATAGGTATTTTATTTGTATTACCACGGACTTAGATAACCTAATCTAATTCCGTGGTATTACTGTTATTATTCATTATTGACAGAACTTCAGGCTCCTGTGGTCAGGGCCAGAGGGAAACTCATGCTAAGTTTTAGACCCTAGAACAGCCAATACAAGCTACAATTAAAAAGTTCAATACCTTAATGTGATCCTTAGAAAATAATTAATTAGCTCCTCATCAGGAAATATATTTTTACTTCTACTTCTACATACCGCGTCTCGCTGTATCACCGATGTCCTGTGATTGTTTACATCTACACTCGACTCAGCGATCCACTTTCGTTTTCTGGTTCTGTTTACCGTCTAACAGGTGTCAGCTGATCATGACCCATGGAACGTCAGGAACGTCTGGGTGATACGGCCAACGCCCACTTTCGTTAGGTATATTTGTTCAGTTATACTCTATTTTGAGTAATGACGGCACACTCAAACAGTAACCAACAGGTGAGTGCGAGAAAAAACGATCCTCGGGTTTAATTTCCGGATCTGGTGTGTGGGCTAAGGGACGCAACTTCTGCTCAATCATCGTTTTCTTTCTGCGTTTAAAATTTGTATTCTAGGCATAAGAAAAACCATAACCGTATATTTATTCTGTTTATGCGATCACACTTTCATATAAACTGTAATTATATTTAATTGCGCTTTTTGACATATAGTTGGATTCAGCTTTGACAACATTTTAATAAATCAGGAATTTTTGAGAAAAATTGAAGCTAAGTTATTTTAAGAAGGCACTGAAAGACACACTCTTTTTTTTTTTATTGTTAATACATGTCACTGATCATTCTAAAAAATCATTAATAATTTTCTTGGTTTTGTAATTACCTCATATTTTCAAAATATGAATTAGCACATGAATTTGAATGCATTGTCGGTTTTGTGACGATTTTTTTTTATTATATTTACTAATCATAACCAAATTTAATTCATTTGTGTATATAATAAGACACTCATAGAAATTGTCAATATTATACTTAATTGTTACATTAAGTAAAACTTTGATATTACATATTTCCAAACTGATGAATTTTCATGATTGAAGATATTGTAACATTATTGTTATGTGGTACTGTAAATAAAACATCTTAAATTTCTCTTTCTTTAAATAAATTAAACTCCTCTGCAACACGAAAGACAAAAGCACAGGGACCTTAAAATTTGTTACAGCTATATTTGGACCTAAACTTCAAAAGATTAGTATCTGCCTAGGGATTGGTCAGGTTTTTATATACATAAAACCAATCAAACAGCATCCCACAAGCCTTCAATTTTGTAACGACATATTCCAAAGGTGCAGAGAAGATACAAAATCTACGTGGTATGTGTATATGAGAGCGGAACCCTTGGGTTTCGAACAGTGGTGGGGCTGTATGTGTTCACATATTGGCGAAAACAATTCTCAATCGCTAAAAAAAGTTATCATTCCTTATACCAAGTGTTAGTGTGAGTGTAAGGAATGACAACTCTTGGTAGATGTTGAGTTCATTGTGCGCCAATATTTGAACATGTATATATCTTTGTAGTTATCTGGCATATATTTCCACTATAACTTACAATAGTACATACATTAACGACAAAATCACAATGAAGATATAAGTCCGAGGACATATTAGTGTTCTTCAAATATTTTTATTCCAAATTCTTGGAAGTACATGTACATATTATATACATTGACATGATCATTTATTGATGACAATTGAATGAATTTTCCATTAGTTTCCATTCTATCCTCTGGGGAAAACAAGCATCGTATGACTAGAAAATCAATAGCAGGCGAGGGATATCGGCCATAAATAGTTTGTTTTTTAGGTTGTACATTTTTTGTACATACATATGTACTTACATACTTATTATGTAACTGGTCCCGATTTTTCCTTAGCAGTGTTGAAATATAAATAGAGGGAGAAAAATCTCCAATGAATCTGTACACTGTAGTTTGTGCTAAAGTTACCTCCCTTGCCTTTACGTAAAATAGGTTAATTAATTAATGATTACCGTCTTACCAATGTAGGGTGGATATTTCAATTCAATTTATAAATCGTTTAACTCATATTCACAGAATAATTCAAATACATGCAATCACTAAATAATACACGTTTCTAGTCGAAACGTTTTTGATAAAAAGATGTAGATTAAGAAATCAGGGGTTGATCTGCCTTTTCACTACAATTTTACAATGATGAGGGATGACAAAACATGATGATCAAGTTAATTGATGCTTGATGAAAAAACAGAGTAATTAATTATAATGAAGAAAAAAAGGATGAATATTTGTTAATTTAATTATTTTAAATGTATTTTTTTCTGCTTCTTTTTCAGGACTGCCTCTTTCAAAACATGTTTGTCAAATGTTGAAGTTACTCAGCTGTTGTTTTCTCACAGCAAAATTACTAGGGAGAATTATTTTTTTCATTTCAGCCCTGAGTTCCTTAAGAGTCATAAAATGGGGGACAAACATTTCTTGTTTTACAGACGCTAACAGAAATCAAGATACCAAACAACTGATAAAGCTGAACAGTACAATTATTTTGAAACACTATTGTGATGTTTGACAGACATATCTCAGGGGCTCAGATTACTGGTTTACTGGAGGCAAACTCTAACAATATGTTGTCCTTTTGTTTGTTATGTTGTAAGTGGCTCCCACCATGCATCAGTTTCATAAGGAGCTATGAAATGTTACCATGGTACATCACAATAACAATATGCATTTAACAATAAACAAAGTACCTGTACATGTACGTTATATGCTTAGACACACCAATCAAAGTAGTTTATATGCTACTGTGTCGTTACTGCTCAAATAGCAATTGTTCTCATAAATCATACATGTCACGCAAAATACTTGCTATCGCAGTTTTTCAAGCTATGATTGAAATATATGTACAGAGCACTGTAAGTTCCTCTTCAAAATTGTTTTAAATAGATCTAGCTAACACACATCTGGAGGTTTAAAACCAATCAAACAGCATTCATTGTATTATGAATACAATGTGAAATAAGATTTTTGAAAATTAAGAAATTCAATGCAAGGCTACATGCTTGTTTACTGTTCAATCACTTTTTCATCATAACGAAAAAAAACATTTAAACCCCAAATCATCCTGTAAAACTAAAAACCTGTTTTGAAATAACACTGCAACGTAACAATATCTGTTGCAGATCATGAAAGTCTTCAATAATCGTACTCACCTCAAATTGAAAGTGGTATGTAAAACATTTGACCCAACACTGTGTTTAATTTACACATTATTTAAATAACATCACAATCTTTACTGAGCCTGCATACCACTTGGAATGTGACAAGATGACAGTGCAAGGAAGTGTCACTAAATGATGCCAGCATCCATAGGTTACATCTGTAAACGTTACACTTCCTTACTTAATTCATACTTACACAACTTCTACTAAAAAGTCAATCAATCCAAAGACTGTCTACATACTTATACAAACATACTTATATTTCCATGTTTTTATTTTTCTCACTTGAGATTTCCTTTTTACTATTGATACATTATAATTTACAAATATTTCCCATATGCAGCAACTTAGTACATAATTAATCTAGTGGTTATCAAAACTCAGTCTTGCAAGCAAGCATGAGAAACCTTTAAACATGACAATTGCTACAGTATTTTGTAGAATGATGTCCAGTTCTAAAATCATAAGATGTTTATGTCTGATAAAGTATTTACAATACCCAGCCGACAAATATTTTACAACTTATATACCATATTGATAAACCTTCATACAAATATAGAAGACATGGGGGGATGACAAATATGTACTTGTGCACAAACAACACTGGGTTCCATCAAAAAGGCCAACAAACAAATCAAGCCTTAATGGACATCGTAAATGGGTCAAGGTTACACAGACATCATAAATGGTCAAGGTTACACAGCCATCATAAATGGTCAAGGTCACAAAGACATCATAAATGGTCAAGGTCACACAGACATCATAAATGGTCAAGGTCATACAGACATCACAAATTGTCAAGGTCATACAGACTTCACAAATGGTCAAGGCCACACAGACATCATAAATGGATCAATGTTATAATTACAAAGCGTATGCTATGATTTGAGTTAATGTTAAGAAAATGTGCCATCAATCCTACATATCACCTATGACAGGATATCAAGACAATGTATACTTATCTTTTGAATACTGAACTGAAACTATATTTCATTTTCCACAAAAAAAATTTTTATTTTATTTCCTTTCTAATATTACCCAATGTAAATTTGTTCAAGCATATATTACCAACCTCATAATATATAAGACATATCCAACAAAATGTACAGCGGGAACACAATGACATCATCAATACACTACCATCAGTGGAAAATGGAAGCATGACCAGGACACAGGTATCTATATTGAACACTTTCTTTGTATAATGTGGTTTGAACGAAAACAGTATTATTGTATAACATGAAAAATTCACCAAATACTTTCTTCTCTGGTTTTTACATTTTACAAGCTTCTTTGTTGATACAAAGTTTTGTGTTCTATGTGGGAGTTACTTACTTTATAAGTTGTACACATCTTTACTGCAGTAATTTGTAAATGTATAAACAAACAAAGCAAGTACACAACGAGCGTTTCATTTTACACAAAAAGACTGTTACTGTGAACAAATTCATTTTTACGAAAGTCATACAATCTAAATAAACACAAATTTATTTATAAAACATGCAAATGTCTTGCATCTTTAAAATGAAAACCCAACAAATTTGTGAAGATAATCCAACAACGGCTCCTATATAGCTAGCTGTCCAGTCTTTAGTCGATCTCGTACGATGTCTGCTTACATGAACATGTGATAGCTGCCTTTATGTTTGCGATAGATCCTCCCGCAATTTTAAATGCCAGTCCACCAGTGAGAAACATGATGACATATGCGGGTACTAGGCTTCCCCAGTAGGCTGGTGTGTGAGTCTCACTTCTCTGGTTTAGCAGTGTCTGAAGCAAATCAAACAAACAAAACTGTTCTCACACATGTTGGAAGTAAATCCATTTTGTTATTAAAAATGTATTAGGGACAAAACTACAGTACTATTTTTGTTTTAATGACAACCATATCTTAAACTTAGAAGAAACTTAAATTTCTTTAAAACAGCTAATAAAGAATAAGTCCAAACTGATTAAATAAGGTTAATAAGTAAAAAGAAAAAGATAAACTTTTTAAATTGTAATTTTCATATTTCGATTAGTTGATTAATCATTAGGAAGTCAGTTTTACTATAACAGCTTTGATGAGTAGAGAAAAACCAGTAATTTCAAAAATAATTCAAATTATGTCTTTTTTTACCAATTATCTTTCAGGTAAATAATGATAATAGAGAAATCAATTAACTGAATTTTAAGAAACCAATTTCGCTATTTCTACAAATACAGATAAAATGTAATCTTGAAACTGTCAAACTGGTATATAAAATCTCCCTGCTTACAATATCAAATTCAGGGAGTGGTTGAATTAACATCTCTGAAAAATGTGTATTGTTTATATGCAATAATCAATTATAATTACACTCAATTCAAACCACAGTAAACCTCCAGTCAGTTAAAACAGACAAAAGGTTTGAAGAATAATCAGTTTTCTAACTAGTGATAGAGCAAACATTTCATATTTGTTTTTAACAACATTTCAGATTGTTCAAACACATTGTATTTTGAGGATAAAAAGAACGGGAATTACATGGAAATTTGAAGTTTGAGTTGCACCTTTTGCATTCAAATCCCTTCCTTGCAAAAGTTTTAGTCAACTGTTGAAGACAAATCGACATATTTGCCATATAATTAAGCATTGTGATGAACCAGTTTCTTTTTTTACTTCTGCTACACATCATGCACCTGCCAGCTTAACAAATTTGAGGCCCTTACTATGTATATCATCCACTCAGTACAGAGTATGGAATGTTGACATAGTAATGCAAGATAAAACAAGACATTTTAATAAAGATCAAGATCTATAAACTCAGAACTTTGCAGAAGCTTTCAGTATGGTTTGTTAAAATTGACATGGATATTTGCACAGGGAAATATTTCTTTTTGGTTGCGAACAGCTTTAAAGTTGCTTCTTGCATTCATAAAGGATCATTTCTAATCATAAGAAAAATGATGAAACATGCTCTGATTGTTTGAAGTTAATTTGATTTTAGTACCCATGATTTCATTGAATTCACACAAATTTAATCATATTTATTTTATTTAATTGAAACTGACCGGCGACATACTGTACCTTTGATACAAGTGTGTAAAAATTAGATGATCCACACTAAAAAATAAATTTGAGATGGCTTACCAGACAGGACACCAGCATGTGCGACACTACAACAATAGCTACATACTGGAACTTGCTCTTGTCCCAGGCATGGAAAAATATAATCCCCCAGAAAGTGTGCAGGAAGACAAAGCATAATGTCAGGAACGCTGAAATTACAACAATAAGATAAATTATAGTATATGTTTATGTCTCTACAAAATAGAATGCACTATAAGTCTGTATATATATGGTATAATGTGTTTATAGGCCCTTGTGATATATAGGTAAAATGCATGTAAAATAGAATGTAATTGTATGTCTTTGTAAACAAAAACAAACAAACAAACAAATGAAAAGAAAAAGATATATGTCACATTATCTTCTTCAAGATACACTAATTCTATCTAGATTGTGTTACTCACTGAACTGTGCAACTATTTCCAGTAAGGAAACTTTCGGATACTACTGATTCATCTAACCTAACTTACTGCTCTTCTCCCACAACCTCTCTATGTTTTGATTGTTTTCTAATTTCACTCTTTGGATAAACCTCCTGGAGTTGGTAAACAGGTTTAGTTACACATGTACACTAGCTATAGACTGGCTTACATTCTTGTACAGAATTTTCCTTGTAGCTGATGATCTCCCCCTAGTTTGAAATTTAGTGATCAAAATCATTAGAGTTAACATCATGGACATTATTTCATTGTGATTGGTCAATCTTTAAATTATGATGTCATATTACAATGCTTTGCAAAGGCATCTTCTATATATACATATAGTGACATCATAATTCATAACAGTTATGGTAGACGTTTCTAGATACTGGTACAGCTGTATTAATGCTAACACTATGGTAGACGCTTCTAGATACTGGTACAGCCGTACTAATGCTAACACTATGGTAGACGTTTCTAGATACTGGTACAGCTGTATTAATGCTGACACTATATGGTAGACGCTTCTAGATACTGGTTCAGCTGTACTAATGCTAACACTGTGCTAGACGCTTCTAGATACTGGTACAGCTGTATTAATGCTAACACTATATGGTAGACGCTTCTAGATACTGGTACAGCTGTACTAATGCTAACACTGTGCTAGACGCTTCTAGATACTGGTACAGCTGTATTAATGCTAACACTATGGTGGAGAAAATTCCCAAAATTGCTGGTTAACACTTTTATCTATTTTAAAAATCTGTTGAAAACAAAGAAAAAGAACAATAAGTCACTTGTTAATTTTCAAAATTACCCAGGATTTCACCACATTTTTATGTTAATAAGAGGGTTTTATATTAGTCAACTGCTTTTTCTCTATCACGCTTGGATGTCAATACCATTAGGAAATTTCAGATTAAATCTATTATTGACGTACAGTGAAAGACTAGCAATATATCTATTTATTTAATCCTGTTGACTACCAGGCTAAAGCTAAGTCTGGCGCTCTATGCCATCTAATATATATGCAAGACCACACACTTGTGTTTTTCTAATGAATCAGAAAAGCACGAGTTTATTACGCGGACGAATACATACGTCCGCCAGTAAATGAGTGCTTTCTGATTCGTTAGAAAAACACAAGTGTGTGGGCTAGCTTTTATCACATACCTTCCGTATTTGGTAGAGATTGATACAAAGATTTTATAAACTTTGATTTTTTTTGCAAATACCAGGAACTTTTCAGTTTGCCATGACAAGGGGATTCCAAAAAAAATAGTTCAGGCTAGTAGGTAATTAATACATTCCATATTGCACATGTGCAATACAGAATGTTGTATTTCATGGTCTGAAAATTGTTCGTATTACTATAACAAGAGGCCCAGAGGGCCTGTATCGCTCACCTGGATACCTAAGCAATCATGGCAAACTATTCTCCAAATGAGATCAAGGGAATATGCCAGACCCCAAGGCCAATCCTTGTAGCATAGCTATATTAGATTTTGCATGCCCAGCAATTTTATGTATGGTTATGGGGTGGGGATCTCAACTGTTTCCAAGGTTTGACTCAGAAACTAGGTCCCTAGAGTTGTGGCCAGACCCCAGGATTGATTCTAATATCGTGACTGCATTTGTCTCTTTTTGCCAAGCATTTGTATATATAGTTTTGGGGCGGGGATCTCAACCGCTTCAAAGATATGACCCAGGGGCCAAGTCTGCTAGGGTGGGGCAGACCCTGGGATCAATTCTAATGTCATGACTGCATTCGTCTCTTTATGCCCACCAATTGTATATATAGTTTTGGGGTGGGGATCTCAACCGTTTTAAAGTTATGGCCCAGGGACTATGTCTCCAAGGGTGGGGCCAGACCCTAGGGACATCCTGGCAGCAAATGTGCATTCTTCTCTTTATACTCAGCAATTGTATATATGGTTATATGGTGGGGGGGGGTCTCAAACATTTCCAAGTAATGCATTTTATTGGCCCCACCCCTTAGCCTGGGGGGTCAGCCCCACCATTTGTACAATTTTGAATCCCTGCCTCCCATGAACACTTCCGACCAAATATGATCAATATCCATGGCATAGTTCTGCAGAAGAAGTCATTTATAGCAATATAACCAAATTGCCCCCTTTTGGCCCCGCCCCTTAGCCCCCTGGGGAGTCAGCCCACCATTTGTACAATTTTTAATCACCATCACCTAGGGATGCTTCCAGTCAAATATGGTTGATATCCACTTCTTAGTTCCAGAGAAGAAGTCACTTAAAGCAGTATAGCCAAATACCCTTTTTGGCCCTGCCCCTCAGCCCCCTGGGGGGTCAGCCACACCATTTGTACAATTTTAAATCCCTGCCTCCCAGGAATGCTTTTGATCAAGTATGATTGATATCCAGTGCACAGTTTTACAGAAGAAATCATTTATAGCAATATAACCAAATTGCCCCCTTTTGGCCCCGCCCCT